TAACTCAGCAGGATACGACTCTGGTTTTACACTGAGTCAAATCTAGTTCCTTCAGTTTGTGTGACAAGTATAGTACTATTTAGCTAAGCAGTTGTTTAGGATTGGCATTTAGACTACTGGCTACGTCCCAATTTAATCCGTACAGACTAGACAGAATTGTTTGCTATTAATTGACTGGTTACTGCAAGCATCTCAGTCCCATAGGAAGTTAGTAACGATCTGAATACATCACTACTAACACTTCTGATTATAGCAATGAATGACGCAGATTTAATTCGATTTCATCAAGATTCCTAGTAGGTCTTGTTGGTGAGAGAAATTCGACTCACATACTTTGGTGAACAATCTCCTATTGCAAACCGAACTGATTGCTATTCAAGGCACTGAACATGTTTGAATGGCATGCATTTATTCCACAAAGATTAATACATTTGAAGAGGAACCAATCTTCAATAATAAAGCACATGATGATCTATATATTATTGAGTATTTTCAATAAAACAGTGAATCGGATTTTAAATAACTACTGTATAAAGTCAAATGAAGTTGACAAAAAGAAAATAAGTTCATACACATGCCTACCCAAAGGTTGATAGTTTGCCAATCAACTCTTAACAGTAGAATTCATATACCTATAATTTCAAAAAAGCTAATCACTTTAGATGTGAATTGCACAAATAATAGATGGAACTTGGAATGGAGGGCTTCAAACAGTTCGATAATTGAATACTTGATGAGTTCATTTACATTTCGCCTGCTCATTTGATGAACTCACTGAATAACATAACACAAAAAAGAAGCATCACGTTTCTGTTAAAGTCAAAAGGTTTATTCTCGAAGAAATTAACAAATGAAATTTAAAATAAAATATTGAACAGTAAAACTACTTAATTCTCTTCATATGCATAATTAATAGATTTTAGTATAGTTTACTACTGATGCTCGCATTATTGATCCTACCATTGTGGAAAAATAAGTTTCAACCTAGTGTTATTTTCAATCTGCTGTCCCGATAAATATGAATCCGATCAGTACCCAATAACCATATACACGGAAAGACTGTGTTGCTAAATGGAGTCGTCTAAAGTAATGAGCAACAGTTGATGCTAACACGTTACAAGCACAGAGGAACAAATAAAAGTAAACACACTGCTTACAAGTAACGACAAATGGTAAAAGAGAAAAGGGACCAAAATATAGAGAATTGTAGTTGTTTCAACAAATGAGAAATACTAGTAGCACAAACATGATGGTTATTGAAAGTCAAATGGAGAGATAGGTAAAATACTTAAGGGAATAGTAACAATACACTTCCCATTCATACATACGAAGTCTAATAATGAGATAGACTCCAGCCAGCAAGTTATTACAGAGTTGTTGCAGAATGAAGGTGAAAGCAATTGATAAGCTTTAACAAAACGTTTATAGGTTTTTCATGAGCAAAGATCATCATCACTAGTGAAACTGTGGTATTGGCAAAATGGTTGGAAGTAATCTACGAAAAATTCAATCTGGACATGACTTTCAGTTGTACTAGTTTAGGGAATTAAAAGTCATTGGTAATCAGCAAAGAAAAGCAATTCTAACTTCTATATTTTCTGAAACACCTGGTGAAAAGCTTTCATGGCGTTAAGCATCATAAGTTTAGAAAATCTGATACATATATGATGACTCTTAACGGTTAATAATGTGAATTCAGTGGGACCCATGATGACTTTCGGGTGAATGAGGACGTCTAGCTAGTCATTATTCATTTGAGAATGTTTCTAAGATAATCACCAAATATTTGATAATCGCGTAATAATACTGTTTAACTGTTAAAATTTTACTGGTTGAAAGTTTCTAAGAACGTAAAACATAAGCAACTTACAACTTCAACTAAATCTGTTTTAGAAATAAAAAACCATCTGACCAACAAAAACTGCAAGAGTATTCAATGTGTAATCAACACTATCAAAACTAGAGAGGTAACGGTAAGAAACGATTACTGTAACCTTAGGGTTAGAAGAAAATTCATGTCAATTTGCTGGCTTTACTTCACATTCATGCAAGAACTTATTGTTGGTGATCTATTCAAGGAACTCAACAAGCAATAAATAGGAGCTCACTAAGCATAAATGAATGTGTAGAATCATCAGTGTTTAAACTGATTTAGTTTTACGTTAGATAAATCATACAAGGAAACAGACGGTGAAGATAAAAATCTTCCGTGTTGCCTAATACTACAGATTATTTATACAAAACTTAAGACCTTTGCAGTGTTATCAGACGTTTTTCTCAGAAATATAGCTGATATATTTATCACAAAAATAAACGTTTTGGAAGGATACCAAAGTATATACTTCATATATAAAATTCTTATTGAGAAATGAACATGATGTACAACCAATTTTAGACAATCCATTTAAATTTAAACAAAGCATTTAATCTAACGATCTATTGTAAGCTAACACATTCGAATTGGTCCACTAACTCTGTACATACGTTCTGAAACCCATTCAGAAAAGTAACAAAATTTATCCCAAAAAATTCAAATGTTATTCATGATGTCCGAAAGTAACATTTACCTTCAAATGAAGAGCAAAACAAAGACCTTATGGATCAGCACTTTGGTTTTACCTTACCACCAAGGCAAGTGTAAGTTTTCTTAAACAAATAACTTAATACACCAACATCACACGCATTTTGATTATATGAACCACCTTTTAATGAAAAAAATTGGGAAGTATCATTACAATATCGTAAAACAGAATTTCAAATGGATAATACCAGCTGAAAGTGAACACAGGTCATCTCTAAATAAAATAGATAAGTCAATATCATGAACTGGAAACCAAAATCAGAGGGAAATGACTAAAAATGAAACGATTCCTCGTTGCTCCGTTTTTCAGAAGTACACTGAAGTCAATTCGTAACGGATACCACCCATGTATTAATTAATACATGGCCGTATTTGATCCTAATGTTGGTCAGCATACTTAACTACGATAAAATAAACCGATTATGCGGTATACAACAGACTATTTTGTGTCTATTACTTTTGCGACTGCAAGATATCTAACACTCCATTACTGTGAGTAAATGATAAAATAATTCAGAAGAATGAGATTTCATTTTAAATTTCCTGAAAAAAGATTTAAATCCAAGTTAACCCGTTCCCCAGGCATTTAGATATGAGCTACATCTTAAGTATGAGAGATAACGATACTAAACGGTCGCCCGAACTTGGGGTCTAATGCTTATAAGTAGAACGCCTTAACCGTTAAGTCACAATTTCTTGGAACTACGATGTATATAACATCACCGTATATACAACGAAAGGAAAACTACACTGAAAATTCTGACTTGGGAAAACTACTCATCGGTACTAAGAATTAGTTTCACAGATCGCCTTAGTCGTATTGTAGTGAACAGAGCACGGGTTGGGACAATCTAATGTACTTGACAACAGATTACAGAACTTGTTAACAAAATCTAACAACCATATAGTAAATGCTCAATTTGCAAAATGTCCATCAATTGTCTTAAAATGACTCAGACCTCATTGTTCTTGCATTTTCATTCTTTACTGTTCGATCGTCTTGTCTCTGTTGCCGGACATTCTGTTCACATCATATACTACATAAGTAGCACACACCACAGTATGAGTCATTTTGAATTTACGCAATAAAGGTCAATCGGATTAAAATATTGATACTAGGGCAATAAAATACACCCAGTACGAACTGTGAAATGAAACTAACTGATAAGTTGCAGTTCAACGATTTTGTCAGTTAACAAGTATTTCGACAGCGGATTAATATCATGTTAATTGTAGCTCACAGTCTATAAGAGGGAAATATTCCCTCGACTACATAACTTAAGATTTTTACTAACTACTTCATCAACGTCATGTTGATCAGCAGTTACATAGAAGTAACAAAGCTTTTGAACTCACGATCCAAGAAATGAGTTCTAAGTAAGAAGGCCATTCCACAACCAAATAGCTTCATTTTACCTAAAACAGATGATAATAATCTACTCAAATTGCTTCAATTAAAACAATTTTAGCAATTACTTACACGCACAAAATAATAAAGCACAATTTTTAACCCAACTGACTAAGTGATAAGGAATAACTAGGTAAAAAAGGAATATTTATTTATAAATCAGAGCCTATTAAACTAGAAAATAAGCTGTATTACATCAGCTGTTTTTGTCTTAACAACAGACAAGGATGATAAAAATATATGGACGGTTATAAATTCGGTATTTCACCATTCAATGTCTTAGTTCTTAAATGTATACAATCTGTGCACTTGTTTAACCTCTTCGCGTTCGTTTCCAACTTTTTCCGTTATCAGAAACAAATGAACAAAATGTTATTTATATATTCAACATATTGAAATTCGTTTCATTTAGAAAAAAAATTAACGAAAACGTATTGACTGAAGATGAAGAGAATATTATAGTGATAAAGTTAAAACAAGAATGACAATAGCAACATAGACGTATATCGAAATGTTTGCAAGCAGAGAAAACGCCAAATTGAAAGCAAAAATGTAGTAAAAGGGATCAGATTTATACGATGAAACTGGATGATCGATTATTTATATGTAATGAGGTGAAAAACGAAACAGTACACAAAATGAAACATATAAAAAAGATAGGCACTTTACCCAAAACAATAATAAACTCAATATACAATGGTAAAACACTAAAACAGTGGGAAAGAAGATAAACAACAAAACTCACACCTTTTCAAAAAGAATAAAAATTAACGAACTGACCAGTACAGCTTCGCATCTATTAAGAAATTTAATGCATGATGTGATTCTGTGAGTGTGTCTACATATTTGTCATATATATATATATATATATATATATATATATATATATATATATGACATGTGATAAAATTAAATATATAAGTACCTTTTGCTTTCAAAGACGATTCGCGATCAAGAGATGCAAAAGATAGCGGCAGAAAACAAGTTAAATCAGTGAACAGCAATAGCCACAATAAGATAATAATAATAATAATAATAATAATAATAATAATAACAATAATAATAATAATAATAATAATAATAGGGACTATACCACTGTATGTGACTGATGATAATCAAACAAATATAGGAAAAAAATTAAACATAAATACATTGTTAGTTAGTTATATTCTTTTCGATGTGAAAATACAAATGCCTTTGTAAGAAGAAAACGAACAAGTAATAAACATATACGTTATACACCGACTGATATACAAAGACATTCAATCATACTTCAGCATCGCTGAACAAAACAAAACTTATCTACGTAAAAGCTGTTTGAAATAGAGGTTAAAAATTCTGCCTACAATAAAAATAAATACTGAGTCATTTTGTACAAAGACACTATGACAGTATGTATGCACAACACCGTAGCGAAACAATAAGTGTGGAGAGGATAAATGAAGCACATCAGTATCAGGGATTTCCTCTTATTCAAATAGTTGATACAAAGTGAGAAATGATAATACTTATTAAAAAAAACTACCAATTTATTCAAAACCAAGAAAACTAATAGAAAACAATCAAAAAGTCGATGGACAACAATAAGAACAACAACAAACTATACAAAAAGGGAAGAATAAAAACAGATTACTAGTGTGATCACATTAAGAAAATATAGCATATCAAGAATTTTAAAATTAAGGTAACACTTGAATACGTCACTTAGAAAGGATTAAAAATCAAACCAAAGAGGACTTGTTAGATCAGGCACAAAATACAACACGTCACAGTATAACAGTTTTTATTAGGAAATAATACAGCAAAATCAGTGAATACAAATTAACTCCTGATAGCAGTTAATATGGTATACGCATGGCCGTGAATAATCTAGTAAGCGCATACCTAAAACCTACAAACAGGCAAATACAGACATGCATACGTGTATACTTAGGGTCGGTATCCTATTTAATTATAACATGCAGAGAAAAGATATGGAATGTTAGCCATTTAAAAGGAAACAATTAGATCCAACATTTATGTAGTTGATGGAAAAAGTGATAAATCCTTCTAGAATTGACAACTATTACATTTATAATTATTATTATTATCAATTTGAAGATAATATTTAGGGATTATAATTTTTAAAGTATACAAAAATGACAGTCGATTGATTGTTAATCAATGTGTACGCAAAACACATAAGTGAATAAAATAGAAATTGATAATAATGATGAAGCTGCTGCTGTATTAGGAATACTATAAACGAGATCCCACCAAAAACGTACATAAATAACAAACAGATAATAATATTAGTTTATAGAATGAAAGTAAATGAAACGGAAGGCATAACTCTTCTTCCTCATCTTTTGAAAATAAAAAGATAAAACAAAATTGTAAGCACTGTCAACTCTGGTGAACTCAAACGTGAAATATTATGTATGTAACGAGATCTTATATACATATGTATATATGTATGTATATACTACTCCTTTACCGATGTAGCAGCAGCAGCATTTGTGCTGGTTGTCTGACCAGGGGGAATAATTCCACCGGATGTCCCAGTTCCTCTTGTGCCGAGTGCTTCTGTAGTAGGAGCACGATGATCGCAACCTTCATTACCAGAAGTAAACTGTGAAAGCGGATATGATTGTTGTTGCTGTTGATGTTGTTGGTGGTGTTCAATTGCAGACGCTTTTTGACGTAACAATGTCCAATCAAACACATAATCCCAGACAAATGATAAAGATCGGAAGAGATTACGAAAATTATTCCGCAGGAAACCATAATTCGGTGTTTCTTCGAACTGCAAAGCACGACAATGACTCAGATAAACAAGAAACTCTGAAGGATAACCACGGCACAGAACATCAATTGGTGTGCTAGCTTTCTTTTCATGAATTCGTTCATATTTCTGTGGTTTGTTGCCAGCCTTTTAAGAAAAGAGAAAATTACCGTTGTGCAACTTTGCAATATAAAAAGGGGGATGAAAAGAATAAACGAAGAAAGATAAAACTTAAATACAGTTTACTATCAATAAATATGTTGCATGCAACGAAAAATTAGTGCAAAAAATATACGAATACGGTATGAAGACAGAGATGTGTAACCGTCTTTATCATTGGTTTTTGGAAGTCGGACATTAATTTATTAGCCCGTGTCATCTATCAAGATCCAAAATTTTCAGTACTCTACACATGTAGCAATTGAAATTAAACTTGTGGTTCATAGCCTAATGTTAGTGAAATCTGCATACGTTACTGATGTTTCGCGTAATCACCAAATAAATCAGTTTTCTTCAAGATTCTATCCGACTTATTGAAGTAATACTGGTTGATCACTATATACGTTTAAACAAAAAAGTTTAACTGGATACATTTAAATAATTTGAGCAACTGAAATAATAATGCACATATTTGTATGATATATAACTTGAGTCATACCAACCGTTAGAAAGCTGACAATAATACTTGATTATGCAGACAAAATATATTGACTTTGATTCAATAACACAATTATCAAGAGTAAAGTATACCAGAAACCGATCATAGCCCCCACCGCGACGTGATGGTCGGCTCGTTTATCGTGATAACCTAATCGAGATAATATCGGATGGGACACTCGTTTATTTGGGTCCTACCACGCCAACCAGGTTGGTTGGAGACTAAGAGCACCAAAACTCATGGTCTGAAGGAGGAATTATGCTGTCAACAGAATGTGGGTGTAGTGCTACTAAGGTGCCTCCTTCAGACAACCAGCACCTACAGAGGTGCTGTTTTCCCACAACGAAGGGCGGAAGGTTAGGAAAGGTCCCAAGGATTACCATCTACAACAGTAAGGCCACAAGAATCTGGAACTACTTCATTTAAAACTACTCTAAGAAGGTCGTATGTGATGGGTTTTAACCACTTGTTTGTTTAGATCTGTGGTCACACTCCTAGATTTTTAAGACCACAACTAATCCAGTTAATTTTTCAAGTAAATCGAGAACTATTGTTCCACGTATCGGAAACCGGGAAGTGACAATCGTCCTAATGCTTCTAAGAACTCATAATAAAGACAATTAAATCGTATAATTACATAGCTAGATAATCTAATATTCGATTGTTTATCAAACTATAAGTTCTACTTGTGTTTTTGAGGAGGTAATAAAACATCCCAGATAAATAACGCTACTGTGTATTTAAGCTCAAAGCATACACTAATTAACAGATAAAGACCTTGTTATTCACTATTCAATTTTACAAATACTACATTTAAGTAATTTAATCAATTATGAAGTTTGGGAAGTAAAATAATTTCAGTTACTATAAATAAACACAAGAATACTGGAAGATTATATCTGTCGTTTGGCTTATCAAATATCATTTATTTAATATTAATTACATCTAAGTATTTAGATGGATTTATTGATACTGATGAACACTTAAGATTGCAATATGATAGTAAAGGCAACTGAGATAATAGTAACTCAATGGAAATATTCTGACTGTACTGCTAAAAGATTCAAATACCAAGTTAATAAGCGGACTGATCTGTATATGTTTAAACTCAAGCATTGTAACAACACAAAAAGAAGTCAACAGCAATAAAAGAACAATAAAATAAGAAAACAGTGAGAGTGAAGAGAAGGAAAGTAAAAAGGTGTTTAAAGAAAGTAAAGAGAATAGAAAAGACTCATTATTACACACGGATTGTTTGTCATTGATTTCTGTTATCTCGTGGATAACATTGAAGACATCAATGTCAACACAACTAAATTTGTATGTAATGGTGCCATAAATGGTGCGTTCAGCCTTGGTGATTTTCAAACTTAATACTACATTAGCTAACATTGCGCATTAAAGTAGTTAGTGTCTTGTTCTATGCAACAAATAGACTAGCCAACATAGAAAAAGTTCATAAATCTTTGCTTAGAATTCCATACACACACATAACATCCTAAGTTTCATAATCGTACTAGACGTAAATAATACTCCGAAGATATTGATAAATAAAAATATGTGAACTTTGAGAGTTTTTCACCTTCAAGAATCATAGTTCAGTGGTAAAAAGTATTGCACAAATAACTAGTGCATGCAATATTCATCTTTTGGGTTCGTAATTCGATAACTCAAGTAGTGTAAAGACTGAATAAAAAATAAGAGAATAACAGTTTGACACTGAGAACAATATTGTAAGTAATACCATTGACAGTCATCATTTAATAACTTCCTATATATTTCAGATACACATACAATGGTAGAATTAACAGTATTTTCACATTTGTAAGATGAAGATGCTGATGTGGAATGGATCGACATTTTCTGCATCAATGATTCGAGAAGCTTCAGTTGATTGGCTTTATTTTGAGCCTGCTTCAGTTGTAAAATAGATTTGAGACCATCCAAAAATATAGACATTGTAGATTAATAACACCAATAACGTCACCAGTTGATATGACCGAGTCAATTTTGTACGACAATCGGAAAGCCGGATTTGCATTGATATTACCCGAATCGACAATAAATATGATTGCTACCCCCAAGACCCTATATCTCACTGAGCCATTGGGATATCAGGAGACAAAGCCTGGCCTGTTACTGCGAAGAATACATTTTAGGGAAAAATACCACTCTTTTACACACAAATTTTCTTTTCAGTAGTTATTATTCATATTTAAATAATTATAAATTAAACGAGTATCATGATAAATGAATAAATAACAGAAACAGTCAAAATACAACCAAATATTATACTGAAGTAACTAATGACAGAACTTAGCAGAATATAATCGAATATTATTCTGAAGAGGTATCATGCTGAATTAATCTATAATCTCACGCCAAATCTCTTCTTATCACTCCACAGATTCCACTGTTATATGAACAAATTGAGTTTCATAACTTAGTGTGTATTACATGTTAAACTTAACAAGTTTAATTAGAAATTTATCAAGATATCAAAGAAAGATGATCACATTCTTCAGTGTATTGTATAAACATTCATCAGACTTCTAAAATGTAGTGCGTTTACCTCAACTTATATTTATGAAAGTATGGTTCATTTGTAAAATTTTACAAAAAAACACCGGAATAATCCCTGGTGTCACTATTCTCACATATTTTAAGGTAAATAACATCATTTTAACGAAAAATGCTAGTAAATACTTACTGAACTAATACTAACAGTGTGGACATCATTCTACCTCCCAAATATAAATCAGTCCAAGTGACTACTCGGCATGAGATCACAACTCGGAAGAGATGCATCACACAAATAGAGTAGGCATTGTTTTTTTATGTTTGGTAATTTTTTGAAAAAATCAAACAAATATTGATCGAAAGCTCTTAGTATGCGTAGCAGAAAGCTCAAAAAAGACAAATAACCTAAATAAGTTTTTGAAAGACCGTGCGTTTGACTTTAGGTTAATGGGAGTATCAGAGTATTTTAAAAACTGAAGATCAAATAACAGCAACACCAATCGTGAGCATACCACTTGTTTAGATAAATTGCCAAGTGACTCAAGGACTCCGCTTTCAGTATTTGAGAGTATATATATATATATATATATATATATATATATATATATATATATATATAAACAAATACTTGCTTACTGGTTATCTTTATGAGTGGAAGCTAAAAATACTGAGGAAATAGTATATTTTATGTTTACATAGACTTCACCGGTACAAAAAAGAATAGTAAGAATTTTCGCAACAAAGTGGGAAACTGAAAAGAATAAATAATATTAATATTACTATAGCAAAACTTCAAATTTGTACAGAATTTACAAACCAAGCTAGTGCAACTCAAGTTATTGCAAAATTTTAACACTAGCATTCGATTGTTCAGTGATTCATTTGTCTTATTATAAATATATGTACTTATAATTCTATCTGATTGTTCGTATTTTGAATCGCACGACATACAGTACTTCTATTAGAGTTTTTGTTTTGAATGCATTTGTACGTATGTGTGTGAGCATTTTAGTAGAGCATAATAGTTTATACTGATCTATTAAGATAATAGTACAAAAAAAACAAAACCGAATCTTAAAAGCCTTGGAAAAGAAATAACTAGATAGATATTAATTTAAAATTACATACTTACTTGTAGTCCTTGCCATGGTAGACTACCACGGAGGAAATACATTAAAACGTAACCAAGAGATTCCATATCATCTCTTCGAGATTGTTCAATACCAGCGTGGGAATTAAGACTAGCATACCGCGCTGTACCGATAAGAGATTTATCGTCTCTATATGAGATATGACGACGTGTTCTATGATCTCTGTTGATTAGAATAACAAAAAGTAAACAAATCCTATTTTTAAAAGTATATTGTAGACAAAGTCCAATACAACCCATGTCGCGCGACTCTATTCAAAACTATAACTATTCCCGAGTCTATTTTTTTATCCATAGGAAAGCATTTTGCCTAGTTAAGCTTCGACTAACTTTTACAAATCGGAAACTGTTTTTAGTACACTCAGTAAGATGAGTCACCACATCCAATTGCATCTAAGCGCATCCACCAGTCTTCTTGCTCTAGTAGAGTAATGCATAATGGACGTAGACTGTAGTTAGGACACGTACACAACAACATTACAGTTTAGTTTTGCAATGGTGAGAAAGCGGTTAGGAGTAAGATTACTGAACATGTAATTGATCAGACCAACTTGATAAACCTACATGCTTATTTAAATCTTGATTTGATACACAAATGTGAGATAATTGAGGGTATTTGTAGCTCACAGTAAGGATGATGGAGTTATGATCTCTAAGCCGTATAGTTTGGTTTTGAAGCTTCTTTTGTCCTTCTAATGATGTTATTCAGAAGGACGATAAAAGCTTCACAACTAAACCATCCAACACATTCAATGCACAAAAATACCGGTAAAAACGGGTATTAATGAAAATATGCGCCACAATAAATGAATGAATTTATGCAGACAGGGGAAGGAGTATAATTAAAAACAAATCAATGAATAAAAATGAGTGGACAAAAGTACTAAATAATGGGGGAAATGGTTCAATGAGAATAAAACCAGAAATGTTTCTTTAGAGTGAATTTCTTACATTATTTATGAACATAGAAGTTATGACAGGATTGTCACTGACAGGCCCTGTTTTGTGTCATATCTAATAACGCCTTAAACCACTGAGTTTCACTCTTTCAAAAATATCAATCATGAAGTCGTAATGAACCAACAGGTTAGTCTTACACAGCATTATTTCATACAACGGCGCGACTAACCACTGTTTTTTAAACTTTATTTTAGGGTCGGTGACCAATGATCGATGTATAAGTCAATAGGACGGTATTTGTAGTATCTATCGAGGCCACTAAACTTGGGGCTTCGAGATGATACCAACTGAATCGTCGCCACTTTCCCGAACACGTATTGTTTCATCAGAACTCAAGAAATTACCTAGATAAACAAACGTTCCCACATTTTTTAACAGCTCACAGCCAAAAGTGGGTGCACGAACATTCTCCTCCCAGTCTATTAAAATACACTGCGCTTCCAAGGTGCAAAGTGGTCGGGAACGAAAGCAAAAGAGATGGAAAAGGCGGCGGCTATAGGTAACACAAGACAGCCCTTCAGACTCATGAAAGAAACTGGAACTAAAACGTCAAGTGTAAGTGAGACTATCTCGGAAAAATGATGACACTCTTATCTGCTCCCAGCCCAGACGTTTAGAACGATGGATGGAACACTTTAAGGAGCAGTTCAGCTGGCCTTTAGCTACTCCACAGTTACCCACCATTCTCAAACAGCGTGAATGGAACACTGAAGTAGGCCCCTCAACTATTACTGAATTTCAAAGAGCAATAGCTAATATCAAACATGGAAGAACAGTTGGTCCAGATAGATTAGCTCCAAAAGTCTTTAGGGATGGTGTTCCAGTTCAAGCGATTAGTTTGACAAATATTATAACTAAAATTTGGGGTTGGACGTAATCCCATCTGACTGGTCGCAATCACTGGTGGTCCCAATTTATAAGAAAGGGTCAAAATCATCATGTGATAAACGTAGAGGGATTAGTTTGACTAATATAGCATCTAAAATAATAGCCTCAATAACTATCGGGCGAATAACAAAGACTCGTGAACTGCAAACATGATAAAAGCAGGCTGGCTTCTGACCTGGTCGTGGCTGCATCGACCATATATTCACTATTCCTCAGGTTCTAGAACATGGACATGCTTACCGGTGTCCGACAAAGACAGTTTTTCTTGACTTGAAAGCAGCATTCGACTCTGTTGATCGAGAGATTCTGTGATAGTGAAAGGTGTACCTCAGAAATATATAATCCTTTAAAAACACTTGACTCGAACACTAATCGTCGAGTCAGAGCTTATCGCGAACTGTCATCTGATTTCACAACCTCAATTGGTGTCCGACAAGGCTGTCCACTATCTTCATTTTTGTTCAATTTCATCATAGACCTACTGCTGGGAATAACGCTTTCGTCATTTGAATTTTCAGAAATTGATCTCCTTCCAGGAGGTCCACTTATAGACAGACGACACAGTCCCGTTTGGTGAAGACGCTGATTAAATGCAGAGTCTTTTGGTAGCACTGAGCAAACAATGCCAGTATGTTTGGAGTGCTTTTCTCCCCCTCTAAATACAAGTTGTTGCTTCAGGACTGACCTGCGTCAACACCTGAACTAAGGATAGGGAGTGAAGTAGTCGAACGTGTCGACAACTACACTTATCTTGGAAGTCTGATCAGCCCTAATGGGTTGGTGTCTGACAAAATCTCTGCACCGATTCATAAAGCTCGTTTGGCTTTCGCTAACCTACGCCACCTATGGCGAAGGCGAGATATCCGTCTATCAATCAAGGGAAGAGTATACTGCGCGGCAGTTCGTTTTGTTCTACTTTACAGCTGCGAAACATGACCATTAAGAGTAGAAGATATTCGTAAGCTACTAGCACTTGATCACAGACATCTTAGAAATATTGCTCGTATCTGCTGGGATCACCGGGTAAGTAATGGTGAGGTCAGACTCAGGGTTTTAGGGAATGTTGGTAAGTCAGTTGGTGAAATTGTAAATCTTCATCGACTGAGATGGTTGGGCCACGTGCTGCGTATGCCTGAACACCGATTACCACGACGCGCAAAGCTGACTAGTGTTGGAGACGGCTGGAATAAAGTTAGGGGCAGCCAAACCAAAACGTGGCATCAGTGCTTGAAGTCACTAACTTCTGGTCTGAGCCATGTTGTTAGATGCAGTCTACTTGGTTGAAGTTCGCGCGACTATCGTAACCAATGGTTGGAGACTCTGGGTGACATGGCTCACAATGGCGTAGGTGTGCGCGCTCTTTGACTTTTCTTGAACCGTGAGATTGAAATTGCTTTATATCTTTCTTTCTAAGAACTAATTCTTTCTCCCTGTATCATATCCCTATACGAAATCTTTCTTTTATACATTACTACAATTGAAGTAACTGGTGCCTGGTCCTACATTGTAGCTGACTCACCTCATTTATGTACATTCCGTAGAAGTTACACAACCTTGCATTGTTATTATGTGCACTATATGACTTAATATCATAATGACTGTTATTACGCTATTACGATTCTCAAGTGTTCAGATTTTCTTATTGAAAAGATATTTCTATTCTGTATTTCCTGCTCTTGATGTTTTTACTAAAAATATCAAAAAGTTACAGAGTCATCACGAACATTTACATATGATAGATTTATAGACCATTAACTGACTACAAACTTCAATATCAATAGCAAAACACGAACAGAATCTTAATGTCCAATTACCTTTCTCAGCAACAAAACTTGTTTACTGATCAATTTTGACATAATTAAACATGATTTTGGGTGTCAACTTCCGACTGACATATTTAACGGAAAACCGGTAGCAAATATTTGTACTAGACTGAATTATTTATTTATTTAAACACATAAACATTGGTACAAGGAGGCACCAAATAGATATGCGCCACATAAATCATTCGATTTGTGTAAGGACTAGGATACTACCTAGATGCCCAAACCGAAGCAGGTAGTTTTCTTAGGGGGCCACACCCGGAGCCTTCGACCTAAAGGTCTGATCCACAAGGCAGTGAAGCAACGTCAGAAGATGCAGTCCCATGGTAGCCGGTGACCAACGATTGGTTCGTACGCCATTTGTTCCCTCAGGATACTGCAGCCCATGTGCACCATTGGTTTGGAATCAGGGTTTTCCAACTCCTCTAGGTGGACTTTTCATGTCCACCAACCCGGTTAAACTGTCGTACATTCGCTTTTCGTCCTCTCAATTTCGTGAACACCCCCACCGTGAGAAGGCACTGAGTAAGAATTTCCTGGCAGTGATTGTATGCATGTAGCCATGTGAGTGAATTTTGAGAGGGAGATTTGACTCTTCTAACTTTCGGTCATACCGGGGCATTTTGGTTTTCTTATTTCAACGCACCGCGGTGCAATGGTGAGCCTCCACCCGGGTTCAGACCATTTTTGATCACCCTGAACCCGGCGCCAGGTAAGTTTGATTATGATCAATTTACTGGACTGATATGTACGATATAATTATTGGCAAGTAGAGAATAAACCCCGCACTCACCGTATTATTACGCGACTACAAACAAATTGTTACTCTTGTATTGGAAGAATACCAGTCTGGTTTCTCCTACATGGATCTATATTAAAATCCAGCCTACGCAATTCCCATTGACCGTAGTGGAAAATGATTTCATAAAATTCACAGAATATTTCTAGAATTGAGCTTTTAGTGATTGCCAGAGTAGCTGTATGAGTTCTAGTGATAGTTTGGCAGATGGGTAGACCGTATACCGAAAAGCAGAGCGACTTATACTTACATGACCCTCTTTTAGCGCTATCGTCAATCATGTCTAGTGTTAAAAGTGCCTGATGTAAGCATTTTCGCTCTATACCTGTGAAACGCGATTTTTGTGAGTCTTTTATCCTCGAAACTTAAATTTTCTACTTTTAGTTTTACCGTTTGCAATCAAGTTACTAGGAAAGTTCAAGTCTCAAGCCTTGACGACCACAAATTAACAGTGGTCATTAATATACGTACTATTATTATCATTAATTTTTATTTTCTTACCAGCTTTTGTCTCTTTATTATGGTTTTGATGCCCCTATGGACTAAACCTGCTAAGTCATAATAGTAAATAATAATAAAAACAATTTCGAGATCCACACAAAAAAGTGAAACTGATTATCTATCAAATGAGATCTCTCGATATTAAGGTGAACACAAGATAGAAATAGGTAATGATGGATAGAGAACGGATTATGCTTCATCTGAGAAGCAGATGGGGGAAGTTGCTGTTCGGAAATTAATGGACAACGTCAGTTATGTGATTTGAAGTAGAGCACAACTCCGACTCGACTTTCAATTACTGAGTCCCACATTTAAATCCCGCTTATATACACTTCGGTCCTAGAACCTGAGTAGTGTTAAAGGCCTACAAACAAATGGTTTGGTTAGACTCAAACATGTGACCCTGTATTAGGTAAATGAGTTAACATTAGCATTAACCTTTGGGGTAGGTACGTGAGACTGTCGATCCTTATGAAGAAAAGGAACCAATACCGGCTAAGATTAATTTTGTTACATTAAATTATTTGGTACGAACTCTTTTCATGGACCTTCGATAGTTTTACCAGGATTTGTATTAAGCGATATATTCAGATAAGGTAGGAAAGGATGAAAGTAACCTCGCTCCCTGTATTGAAGTCGGAAATTGAAAAATATTAGTAGAGCATATGAACGTATCAAGACATGTTAATAATTTGACTAAAACTAGTTCAGGAAGACATACATGTAATTCAGTGAATCCGGGGAGCGCAATGGGTCGAAATAGTTGGACTCAGCTTCAAGGTAAGTTTCAAAAGTGTATTCATGTAATAGCTGAAATTATGGACATGAAGTATAGTATACAAATACCGGAGTCATATACTATTTGGAGTAAAAACAATGATTAAAACTGCTAAGCTACATAATGAAGGGTTGAAAATAATTCGGTCTTGGAACGTTTTCCCTAACTAACTGATGCACAGTAAATAACTTTAAGTGATTTACATCAAGATCAAAAGTATTTTACACAGAGAAGAAAGCATAATTATTAATCACAGTACCACATAGAGGAAGACAGTGATAAAATACCTGTGATGGATGGCATTAAACCCAAGAAAGCGCTAATTTGGCACATTAAGTCAAGAAAGTGTTCATAAATCGTATTCAATATATACCCGGCAAGACAGACGAAGTTAGAGGACTAGTGTAGTTGCTGAAATCGTAGGATTCATAATCCTTAGGGATTTACTGGAACTCAGAAACAGGAATACCCAACAAACAGAAAAACAACAGTTAGGTGGTATTTTGGTCATATATTTACATCACACTAGACTCCAGAAGAGTGTATAAACCAAGTCACAGTATTAAAAGCTCTGCGATAACACACACGATCAGGTAATAAATCAAAAATGCTTCGGTTAAATTATATATATATATATATATATATATATATATATATATATATATATATATATATATATTCGATCAGATTACACTTAATATGGTAAGAAAAACTCACCGAAACTTTTTGGCCAGACCAAAATCAATTATAAAAACTCTGTTGCACTGACGACCAATACCCATTAAAAAATTATCTGGCTTTATATCTCGATGGATGAAGCCCTTTGCATGTATAAAATCAAGTCTCCATAACATTTGATCAGCTAACATCAAAACAGTTTTCATTGTGAATCTGCGCCCACAAAACGTAAAAAGATCCTCCAAACTAGGTCCTAAAAGTTCTATTACCATAGCATGATATAGATTTCTAACGCCGTCAAGTCCATAAAACTGAATACGAGGTATTCCTGGAGTTTCCTTAGAGTAAATAAGTGACTACAAAAATCCTAACTCACTCGCAGTACTCGATACACTTTACTTTCAAAATACAGTTGACAATGTCGTGTGCGGACACGCTCCATTTTTATTGCTACTTCCTCTCCCGTAACGATGTTAACCCCCAAAAATATGGAACCAAATGATCCACTTCCGATTTTCCGTACAAGTCTCCACTTTTCCGCTACTATATATTTAGATGACGATAAACGTTGAGAGTCATCCATCCCTTTTACACCTTGAAGTCAATAAATAAATGCATCCAGCTTAGTATAAACGGAAAAGAAATACAACATCACCTAAGCATAACTGCATACGATTTTTCAGTATAAAAATAACAGAAATATAGTTTGTTTTGCCCAAAACAATCCTAAATAAAGATGTATAAGTGGATACTTCTCGTCGTCCAGAAAATCACTGCAGATACATTTTCTAAGTAGCTGGTCGACTGGGTGGTCTACACCTGAATGTCATACTTAAGTAATGATTCTGGCCGAATGATTTTAGTGATTAATCACAGTGTTTTACAAGAAACTGTGGAAAACTGAATGTGACAAATAAAGTGGTTAGTTTAACCTAAATGGTTTTTAAGAAATTAGCTACGATAAACTGATTCAAAACGGAGGAAATCAGGTGATTCTGAAGATTTACCAGCGCCGCACGAACACAATAATCATTGTTAGCCAACTCTGAAACATAACTAGCGGCAACGGATTGTTATCAGTACTAGCCCTAAAACAATCTTTATCAGTCTTATAACAATTAACATTTAAATCTCGATGAATTAATTGTTCGTTAAAAAATTTAATTGTCCAGTTTCCAAGCGAATTACCTCACGTTTGCGATGCCTTCAGATATCATACGACCACAGCTTTGAGGTAACATCATCCTACTGATATTTACCATACCGTGGGTTCAACTATTTGGTCATATATCTCGTCTTAATCTTCATAAAAACAGATTATTACAACAGGATCTGTGGTATATTACCTAGTTACTAAGTTGCGTGAAAATGAATTCATAGTCATTTGGCTTAATAATAATTAATGTGGAGTGTAGTAAGGCTTTGAGATATACAAACAACTACATTTTAGGTACCCGATGACTGGTAAATAGTTAATGCTTTTACTATAGGAATTCAAAGCAAATAACGTTGAGAAATGATGGTACAACACACAGACAAAATGCACTTACATTTAACGCAGGAAGCAATCAACAAGTGGTGTACAATCACGAATTCAAGAGCTTATTATATATGTATGTAGCGACTAGAGTCTAGCCAGAAAGTATGGTTTATGTGTATATATATGGGGGAGCGTATGTGAATAAATCTGAAAAATGACAAAAAAAATCACACAAGTCAGTAGACATAAAGAAAACACTTACATTTCGTAATGGAAACAAACGATGATAGCCAGTTTCTTATCCTATAAATCCCCGCCAAGACCTTCGACTTTTCAGTTATCAATACATTTGTAACTGAATATATTTATTCCAGTTTATATTTTTCAACAGTAGAAATGTAAAATTATTAGTCCTATATTTTTATTTGTAATTTTTGTACTACGATGATCAAATTTTACTTTGAATATATCAACAAATGTGTTCATATTACTAGTACATGTAGAGAATTCCAGTGATTCACTACTCGGTGAACAAAAGGCAATCCCAGATGTAAGTGATTTGATCCCAGTTTTTGAACTTTTTACTCGGATGATCAGTCCTCGACGGAAGGAAAAAATAGGATGTATCGACATCAAAATCTCCGTTCATTATATGGTAAGCCATTATTATATCAACTCTTTTCCTGAAGTTTGATTACAGTAATATGATGGGGCATCTCAGTCTATTTTCATTAGATAGGCCTAAGAGACATTTTTCCATTTTGGTCATTCGCCGTTAAACTCGTTTCAGCAAATCCGCTCAAGACTTTCGACAATTAATTGTAGCGGTAAATAAAACCCAAAAATCAATTGCACTGTAAATCTTTGAGATTTGATGCTGACTGCATTAATTTTGATGAATGCGCTTGATAATGTATCCGCACAAAATCACGAGTATGTACGCCGTGCTTTGCATCTCCTTCAACCTCTAATAAGCCTAGATTTGTCACTTCTCGACATATCGATAATCCATTAGACAAATCTTCGATCCACTTCGCTCCTGACTTCCGACTTGACCGGGTTGGCATATTTCGATTATAAGTGTCGCTGATTAATTTGTTGTCAAACTCTGATTACCCGAGACATCTTTACTGTTGAGCCCTATGTGATCTGATACACCAATTAGTAGATTGTGAATCTGTTTCTTTTGGGACATTATATTATCAAAGTTAACTTGAATTTCTACACATTGAAATTTTTTGTTTTTGTGGGTGCTTTTCTTCGTTTATTTCTTCACTTTATTCACTTTATATTATTCAAGATCAAGACTCTTTCATCACCTTCATTTTAGCCAATGCCTTTCTGGCCAGACGACACTGAAGCCTGTTTCGTCTGAGTAAAGGCTGACTTCCACGAGCACGGCATGACAGACTCACGTGAACACTTTTTCGCAGTTGTGAAGGCACTAGTGCGAATTGAAGGGGTACGTCACTAAAGATGTTTCAGAACCTTACAAAACCCTGTAGAAGGTCATTTCAAGAGTGGAGACCTAACCGATCGACAGCGGTTGAATCAAATCTTCAACAATATCGATCTAGAGCATGGCTCAGCAACAAACGTGTTGTTACGAACGAGAAAGGTCACTGCTCAACGGACATTTGACGATGGCTTGTTAAGACAAATTTTCTTGTCTAAGCTTCTTCAACGGGTGCATGCAATTCATACCTTAGTTCAAAACAACGCTGTAGACATACAGGCTGCATGTGCCGACCGAATTCTAGAGATCATCGTGTTTTTGCACGCCGAGGCTTTTTCAGAGATTGGAAAAGCTCGAAAGGCACGAAATGACATTACGGAACTCTGTCATAACCTGACAAGACACGTAAGTATTCGTCAGGACCGCACATGATCCCAAACTCGTCGATGAAGTACGTCACGAAAGAAATCTGTCTCTAGATCAGAATTAAACATAACTCCGACTAGTGCTGCTATCATAATCAGTGCGAGAAGCCTTTCCGAAATTGCAGATAACCCCGCAATTTTACTGGCTTGAAACCAGTCTGTTATACATTGCCTGTGTTATTACGAAAGTTATTCATTTATTCGACACTGGTGCAGAAGTATACGTTCTAACGACCGGCTGCACGAAGGGGTTTTCAACTTACAGGCGGAAAGCTGGAAAACGATCGCCACATATCGTGGGAGATATTTGTACCTTAACAGTGGTCTACGCAAATCCATCCACTAGATTTTCGTTTTTACAGGTGCTTTTATGCTAATCATCGCCACAGACCTGCTACAACATCATAATCTACTCATCGACACACGCAAACGGAGGTTAGTAGACGAAAATACTGATTTATCCGTTTGGGTAACTTCTTTTTACGTTTTCAGATTATGTCAAGACACAGTAAGACACATGATCGATCCACACTACCAACAAATACTCAATACGTACACAAAAGCAACAGGAATTGCCATGTGTAACCAGCAACGTCATACAGCACACTACGACTACTGGACAACCTAGATTCTTGAAAACATGCTGACCAGCTCTTGAATTGCCGAGGATGGCTAAAAACGAATTCGATCACATGATAGACTTCGGAATCATTCGGTCATGCAACTCATAGGCATCACCCTTGAACATAGTCCCTAAAATTGACGGCGAATGGCGTTCAACTGGTGAGTATCAGTGATTGAATACGAAAATCATTCCCGATCGTTACCCGTTGCCTCACATTCATGATTTGTCAGCTACTTTGTAAGGTACGACTGTTTTGTTAAAATCGTCTTGGTTAATGCATATAACCGAATTCCCATGGCAGCTGACGACATTCCTAAAACCTCTATCTCTCCGCACGCGTTTTGACTAAATAAATGCTGCATAAAACTTCCAAAGGTTTATAGACAACATTTTCTTTACAAAAACAGCAAGAAATTAACGAAAAAGTTGGGAAAGGTCAGAACCGGTACAACTGTTCATTTAGAGACCAGTTTGAGAATACAGGTTATTGTCTAGGTTATTTCTGACAACCACTCAGTCACAGAGTATTTTTGCTGGGTAAGGCATTATAAAACTTATGTATCTTTGCTTGCGTGCATGGATTTTAAAGTATTGGCGTATCTTAAAATACAACGTACGTATTAAAACAAAAATTAAATTCAAGACCAACACTACTCCGATTTCCTTTTCAGGTTCCTCAAGAAATAACCTTCCTCGGTGTGGGCAATCGGGAAGTGACATCAACCGTGTTACCCGTAACAGCACACGAGACCAATTTGGTCACATTCAAATCAAACGTTGTATAGAAATTGTCAAGGACGAATTCTTAAGTTTATAGAAGCCTTGGCTATTCGTAAATTTAAGCCCCCTTTATGTATACAAAAACAATTTGTCGTAACCTTGGTAATCCTTGAGTCATTCTATGGCCTAGGATAATGCGACAATTTCTTATCCTTTCTCTCCCCTTTGTTATTTTTGTTTGTATTTTAACTTTCATGTAATTGACCTTCATTAATTTTGGAAATCAGTGTAACATCGGAAGCCGTGTCCAATTAAAGACGTATGGGTTTTTCATTTATTAATAAGATTACGTACTTCCGCTTACTTTGAAAACCAACTTTGAAGGCTGCGAACGTGCATTTAATTTGACTCTGTGGTGGTTGCTTCTCATTTCCACTACGACATTGAAACTTACGTTTATTCGATGAGCAGTGACCTTCTTTATGACCAATGCGATGACATTTGCGGCATTTGTGATTCTTGAACGGACATAGTTTCGCGAAATGCCATGCTCCTCAGAACCAACATGGTGATGGGTTTGACAGAAGGTAATTGTGTGGTTGTAGTGTTCTGTTTGGACGATTTCGAGGATCTGAGAGCAATAATTGTACCAAAATCGGAAGGTTTAACCTTCTGTTGCACCATCGCAGTATCATGCTTGAGATTTATCAACCGCTGACACTCGGTTGTGACCATTTGTAGTGTCATATTCGGTTCCTGTTCAATGCGTGCTAACATCCTGGTACGGATATCTGCATCTTCTGCATTCTTTAAATCACATATAAAAATCAAGCATTTGAATTGGTCAGCTGAAATCTCGTTTATTTTGAACAGTTCGCATTCTCGATTTACTTTCCCAGCATATGTGAGATAATAATCATCTGGGGATTTCGATATTTGGAAACATCGACAGCGAGTATTAAATAATGAAGATTGTTCGCCGAAAATGTCAGATAAAATTTGGACTGTCTCTTTGAAAGATAGATCTCGTGGAATTCGTGGTAAGATGAAATTCACATATTTGTTGTATTCACGTGTTCCGAGTCTTCTCAGGAGTAGGAGAACTTTGGCTGCGTCATCAAGATTTGAGCATTCCACAAGGAATATGTTTTCACAACAGTGAAACCAGGAATTGAAAATGATACCAGATTCAAGATCATAATGGAATTCACAAATAGAATATGTGATGCGTTCATACTTATCTGATTAATAAGTTGTGGATGAATGTAATGACAGCTTCTGCATCAGTGCATCAAAAAGCTTCATTTGATTTGCATCATTTTGCGCTTGCTGAATTTGTAGAATAGTTTTAAGGTCGTCCAAGGATACAGACATTTTGTTCTGGATCAGTCATTCCCTTCTCAAGTCCCTTTATCACCTCGCCCCGCTAGTGCAAACGATTCGAGTACGCGGAACATGATTCCCGGTCTCCTGAAACCACGCTCTAAACTACATTTAAGGGCTTTCAAAATCCAAACACTCTGCCGAATAGGACAGCAGGCTTGCTTAGCTAGGACTTTAGAATCTCGCGCCATGGATGTGTGCAGTGTCTCCGAAAATCGCATAAAGTATCCGAGTAGTTTCATTCATTTGACCTCACCATGTCAACGTAACGATGTAATAGTGGCTGGTGACTTTAATGCTCAAGTAGGTAAACTAAGCGAAAGGAAAGACACCTGGGTGGATCTTATGGAGTCGTGGCTCAAAAAACGGATAAGGGCGACCGTCTGTTGCAGCTATGCTCAGATAACCCCGTGTTTCTGGGAAATACTAACTTTAAGCATAGGGGAAAAACAATTTTTAACATGACGACCCCAGAATTCGTCCCAACGTTGAATCCAAATAGATCACATCGCTATCAGCCAGCGTTGGAGGGGCTCGCTAGTATGCTGTCGCCCGTTCTGGAGCACACACTTAGATTCAGATCATGCTTTAGTGCGAGCGCGTATTTATCTACGTCTTACTGGACGTAGGAAAGATGATGCAAGGAAACCTATTAGGATTCTACTTAATGATAGCCAAGCCAAGCCAAGAGTGTATTTCAGGAACAACTGGAAAATCAGTTA